GTCTGGCTGTTTATTTGTCCGTCCGTCCATCCGTCTATCCGTCTATGCATTTGGAGTGCAAAGCTAATATCTTTTTTTTTAGACTTTCCTCGTCACGAAAAGTGACCCACATTTGACCGACCGATGGTATTGAACGAACGTGTCGAGTCGCTATGCGAGCTTCTGCATCGCCGGCAAACACAGCAGCGCAGCGTCACCGGACAAAATTAAAGTACAGTAAAACCTTGCATTGCGAGCATAATTCGTTCCGAAAACGTGTTTGTAATCCAAAGCACTCGTACATCAGTTGTGATCACGTGACGCTCGGCAGACAAAGCGTATACGTACTACTCGTATTGCAAGACCTCGCTCGTTTATCAAATTAATATTTATTAAAAATAAATTCTCGTCTTGCAAAACACTCGCAGACCAAGTTACTCGCAATCCAAGGTTTTACTGTATATAAAAAAAAACATTTCATTGCTCGAAGGTTTAACACGCGCAGTGTGCACGCTCTCGCCACCAAGAACCATACGGTCGATCGTCGGTTATCCGGAAGGGGACGCCGGAATTTTTTTTTTTTAAAACGCCGGATGATCACTACATCATCACCCCCGCATTACACGCGAGAACTAATACATTTATTTATTCCATCAAGGTCCTGAGGATCTTCTAATCTCCATCTGCTCGACACTTCCAGCCCTCTAGGTTGGCGCTCTTTTGGCGATCGGTGCTCTTTGTTAGCGTGGCACCCACCGGCTATGGAAACGCCTCGACCACTCGAAATCAGAGCAATGGGAGTCGGTCGATAGATTCGCGTCTGCTTTGAAAACCCCATCCCTCTAAAGTGGCCTTCTCTCTCTAGTCTGGTCGGTCGTCTGCTGGTTTTATTTTTGTTTCCTGCTTTCCATGCTTTGCGCATTGGGATCGTAGGATGGAATGCGCAATTATATATTTGAATTATGATTTTTTTTAATCTTTATTATTTATAATAGCGTATTTTTGCACATTCTTGCAGGACGTTATGTGTTTCAGGTGTTGTTGTTGTATGTTTTTTTAGTGTTTTAAATTTTGATTTAAAGCTTTCGTGACTGCAGGGATTCGTATTCTTGGTTCTTTCGGTAAAGTCATGTAGAAGGGAAACAATAAAATAAAAAAAATAAAAAACAATCAAATTATCACGACGTTTCGACTGCAACACAAGCAATCATCATCAGGTGTGAAAACCACAACAAGAACATTTGAAAAAAGAGGCGGTGGTGCTAACGTTAAAAATTACCGCCACTTTTTTCAAATTTTCTTGTTGTGGTTTTCACACCTGATGATGATTGCTTGTGTTGCAGTCGAAACGTCGTGAGAATTTATTTTTTTTATATTTTAATTGTTTTGAATTTGTTTACTATTTGAAATGGGCGTAAATAAACATGCAAAGGTACAGCAAAAAAAATCCTACTTTAAAACGGTATTGTATTGGCTGTACCGTACTTACCACTCCAATCTCGGAGACTGCATCATGGGGAGATGTCTATATGTGCGGTATTTTCATTACGTTGTATGTAGTGCATAATGTACTGTATAGAATATTTAACACTGAAATCAAGCGTAGCGACTTTATTTTGTCACGCGCACGGTGCCGATCGCCGGACTGGTTACAGCCTTTGGAGAAGTTTTGCCGGCTTTGCCGGATACGACCCGGGACCGTCGGATAACGCTGGAAGCAGCCGGATAATCGCGCTGTGCCCGATAATCGATGATCGGCTGTAATTCACCATTGATTTCGTACGAGACGCGCGTTCTGCTCCAACTTTTAGACTAAAACAAAACAACAAAAAAACCCACCGCCAAACGGATGTCCCCGTTTTTTTTTTGCCCCCCGGCAACTACCAGCAGTCCGTCACCGTGACGGCCGATTAGATCCTGCCCAAGACCAACGCGCGCACAGTTCCACGCTCGTGCTTGATGTCTCCCAACTCGTTCGGAGTCGTTTCTATTTATTTACTTCTGCGCGCCCGTGCGTGCGTGTTGTGTGCGTGCGTGTGTTGTGTTTGGGAGCGATAGTGTAGAAGTTAGCGGCTGCGCTGCGCTGTGCTATGAACCCGGCAACCCGAGTACAATTCCTGTTCATGGCAAAGCCCGGTGACGATTATCTGAACCGGTCGTGGGCCACCCCTAGGTCTACTCAGCCTCAAATGAGTACCTGATGCGGTGTTTAAACATGGCTACTATGGAGACAAAGGCGGTCGGGCGTGGTGCTAGCCACACACTCCCTTCGGTTGCTGTGCCAGCTTTCAGAGGTGCTCCCTAACAGCACTTACCCCGACAGTCTGTTCAGGCTATATGGGGGATCTTTGTCTTGCGTTCGAACTCGAGTAAAAAAGAAACTCAATTCCCGTCTAATCCCGCGGTGATTCTTACCGATTGCCCATCGTCAAGGTGGTCACTCCATCACTCGCTCCGTCACCGCACTTCGAGCGAGACGGAACGTCGCTCCGTTGTTGCTCTGCGAAGCCGCGGTGAGACGCTGCCGCTGCCGCCGCTACTACCACTGCCTTTGACAGCAACGCGACACGTGTTCCTTCGTCAAGATTCACCGCAACTGTCCACCCCACACAGTCTCGGTTCAATTGATGTGTTGCTGCACGGCCGACGATACCATGTTAGCTGGTTGCCTGGCTATTTTACAAGGGAGATCCGTGCTGCTGCTGCTGCTGCGTGAGCACAGCAACATCAACGGATCTGGCACACGAAGGGGGTGGGTGGCCAGCAGCACGCCCGGCCACCTTTGTCTCCTGAGTGACGATGGTTACGCACCGTACTGGGTACTCATTTGAGGCTGAGTCAACCTAGCAGAGGCCCAGGTCGGGTTCAGATAATTGTCACCGGTGTTGGCCGTGAGCGGGAATCGAACTCGGGTGGTAGCCAGGTTCGTAGCGCAGCGAAGCGCTAACCGCCGCACTACCGCTCCCCACGGACACACCGTCTCTTCTCTAGCTCGTGCCGTGCCCGTTTAGCCCCCTCGATCCGGCCGAACAAAAGCTGTTTCGTCGTGCGGTGGCTGGGCATGCGGGCTACATGACCCAGCCAACGCAGCCTTGCCTGCCGGGGGAGCTCACCGATGGGACTTTGCCCGGATATTTCAAGGATTTGTGAGCTCCTCACACAATCCAGCCTGGTTAAACCCAGGATGGATCGTAGGCAGGCCAGCCTAAATGTTTCTAACCGGCGAAGATGCTCCATTAGGGGGGTCCACGTTTCGCACACAGACACCCACACGCGCACACACAGAGAGTATGATAACACGTCATGCAGCAGTCTTTATTTGTGGAAAGGGCAACCTGAACATTCTCCCTGACTTATAGATGGAAAATTTAACAATCCCATATGTGTGTGTGTGTGAAAACAATAACAGTGGTTGATGCACGGATGTGCTCTGCTAACAGACATCAGCACCACGAACAAACATTCGCCTACGGACAGGTACAACGCACTGCACGTGATGGACGTGCGTGTGTGTGGTGAGCCGTGTTTTTTGGGGTGAGCCGTAGTGTAGCGGTATAGTGCGCTCCGTACCCGGCCACCCGGGGCTCGACTGCCGCTCAGGGCCACCACCATCGCCGGCGACGATATTCTCAACCGGTCCTGGGCCTTCCCCTAGGTCGACTCGGCCTCAAATCAGCACCTGGTGCGTAAACATCGCCACTGGGGAGACAAAGGCGGCCACCCACCCCCTCGTGTGCCGTGTCGGACTTCATAGGTGCTCGCTAACAGCACTTGCCCCGACACTTGCCCCCAACAGTCTGCTAAGGCTACACAGGGGATCGTCGTCTTTGAATTCGTAACCGTTTCGGGATGAGCGGCGGCGAAGCGGTTTGGCGCACCGCGCTACGAACCCGGCGACCCGAGGTTCGATTCCCGCTCAGGGCCACCACCATCGCCGGCGACGATTTTCTCAACTCCTCCCGGGCCTTCCCCTGGGTCGACTCGGCCTCAAATCAGCACCTGGTGCGTTGTGCGTGGTGTTGCCCTCCCCCCCCCCCCCCCTCGTGTGCCACATTGCCGGCCTTCGTAGGTGCTGCTATTCGCCAACAGCACCTACCCCCCCCCCCCCGACGGCCTGCTAAGGGCCACACTGCGAGCACCTTTGTCTTTCACCCGGCACGTGCATTGGGGGGTGAGGGTCGGGGGTGGCGGGGGTGGGGGGGGGGGGGGGGGTGCCTGTGCGTGCGCGAGCGTTTCGCCTTCGGGCCCACGACGAATCGATCGGCGTAACGGCTGCGATGCGCGGCCCGCGGTGTTGATGCATGCCGGTACGCACGCGTACATGCACACGTGTGAAACTCGGCGGGGCGGATCGATGGGGGCGTTGGCTAAGGCGGCACGGCCGGACCCGGGGGGGTGGGGGGGGGGGCTTGCGGGAGGGGGGGGGCGAGCGCGGCGAGCTGATGGACCGGGCAGCTTCGCGCGAGCGATGAACGCGCGGATGGCTCACGTCGTGAACGGCGGCGGCGGCGGCGGCGTTCTTTTCTGGTTCTGCCCGATGGGCTCGGCGGCACCCTCCCACGCCGGCCTCCAAACCCCCGGGACTTCCACGAGTACGGCGGGCGCGTTTTTGACGCCGTTTCGAATCGCTGTTGTGGCGAACATGACCCCAAAAGCATGTTGAGGTTACACGGGGGAATCTCTGTGCGGTTGTGCGTGGGTGTGTGTGTGTGTGCGATTCCGCGTGGTGAGAGGCTCGCTAACAGCACTTGCCCCAACAGTCTGGTGATGCTATACGGGGGAGCTTTGTGTGTGGCGGTCTCGCGAGCAGCACTTGCCCCTACAGCCTTTTTGAGGCTATACAGGGTGGGGGTGTGGGGATCTTTGCCTTTGCTGCCGGTGACCTCGCCGCCAGTGACCGCAGCCTGCACGGCTGCCTCCTTCACCGCCAGTGACGGCGCCGCCGGTCTGCACGTGACCCCCCCCGCCGCTAACACTCACCCCCGCCACCCCGACCCTACTCACCGCCCCCTCGCCACCAGCCCTGCCGCGCCCGCCGGGCGCCCCCGTGGTGACGGAGACGACTCCGACGAGCGTGACGCTCACGTGGGACTCGGGCAACACGGAGCGCGTGAGCCACTACACGCTGCTCTACCGCCCTCGGCACGCCGGCCACGGCGGCGGCGCCACCACCACGGGGACGCGGGCGAGGCCAGCGCCGGCCGCGCCATCGGAGCCCACGCCACCCTTCCAGGCGAGCGCTCACCGCGGCGGTGGTGAGGGAGGTTGTTGTGGGTGTCTGTGTGTCGATGATTGTGGTGGTCGTGGCGGTGGTGGTGAGGGAGGTTGTTGTGGCTGTGTCTGTGTGTCTGCTAGATTTCCACACGATGATAAATCATGCACTCGCGCGCACGCACATACACGCACTCACACACTCACGCACACTCGCACGCACGTACATACACACACGTACACACACACACCTACAAATGCGCGCGCGTACACACACGCACATAAAAACAAGTACAAAGACCCTCCCCCCCCCGTGTAGCCTTAACAGACTCTTGGGGCAAGTGCTGTTTGCCAGCACCTATGAAGGCCGGCACGGCACACGAGGGGGTGGGTGGCCAGCACCACGCCCGGCCGCCGTTGTCTCCCCAGTGGCGATGTTCACTACACACCAGGCCCTAATTTGAGGCTGAGTCGACCTGGGGGAGGCCCAGCGCCGCGAGCGGGAATCGAACCCGGGTCGCCGGGTTCGTGGCGCAGCGCGCCCTCTGACCGCTGCCGCCGCCGCCGCCGCTCCCGCACGCGCGCAGGAGATCGACACCGTCACGACGACGCGCTACACCGTCGGCGGCCTGGGCCCCTACTCGCAGTACGAGTTCCGCGTGGCGGCCGTCAACACGGTGGGCCGCGGCCCGCCCGGCGGCGTGACGGTGACGCGCACGGGCGAGCAGGCGCCGTCGAGCGCCCCGCGCAACGTGCAGGCGCACATGATCTCGTCCACGGCCATGCTCGTCACGTGGGAAGAGCCGGAGGAGCCCAACGGGCACATCCTCGGCTACCGCGTCTTCTACCACAGCAACGACGGCGACGGCGGCGGCGGCGGCGGCGACGACGAGGACGACGGGGACGACGAGGGGCACGAAAGCGGCAAGAACGGCGCCTTCACGCAGCAGCAGGAGCTGCACCGGGAACCGGTGAGAGACGCCAAGGGGGGCAGGTGTACATTTGGGGTTTGCGTGTCTCTCTCTCATCATTATCATCATCATCACGGTGGCTAGGAGATGTTGACTACCTCGCCTGGTGTACAGGAGGTCGTGGGCTCGATCCCGACCCTGACGACGCCTGCTGTATATTTGGAGTTTGTGTCTCTCTCTCATCATCATCATCATCACGGTGGCTAGGAGACGTTGACTACCTCGCCAGGTATACAGGAGTTCGTGGGTTCGATCCCGACCCTGACAACACCTGCTGCTGCTGTATATTTGGAGTTTGCGTGTTTCTCTCTCCCCGTGGTTGCGTGGATTTTTCTCCGGTCCCTCATTTTTCTTCACGTTTAGAATCAACGTCACCACACGTTTCTAGTTGTTTGGCTGCTGCTGTAAATTTCCACGTGATGATGATAAGCCCACTTGTTAGAGCTGTCATTTGTGATAGCCAGCTCGCTTCTGAAAAAGAGTTACATAGCTCAGTGGGGCCCTTACCTGCAAAAATAAAATAGAAAATAACTTGCACACAAACTGAGTTCGTCGCTCCATCTCTGCATCCTGGACGGCCTCCCGAAGACATTCCATGGTTCAAAATCAGAATATGGATTTATCCTTGAGGAATCCGATGAGCTATAAAGCTCTTGTTCACAGATGTGCAGTAGGGCCACGGGGTCAGAACGTTAGAACAACAAATAGTACAAAAATACGATAGTGGTGCAAAGTTCAAGAAAGGTAAAAATATATACATATAAAACTAAACCATTTTTATCTTAAGAGGTAAAGCCCACTGATAGATCAACGAATGGGCTTATCGCGTGAAATTTTATAGCAACAAAATAATCAAAATGCACGTATCTATCCTTAGTCTCGGGCCACGGGATATCGTTCCTTCGAAGGTTATATAATTTGCCTTGTCACAGACACCGAGCCGGCCATTCTGAGATTCCGGGTTCAAGCTATGTGCCTGAGATATCCCTTATCTATCCAGAGGTTTATAATGACTGTGTCAGAGATACTGAGCCATTTCCACCGAGATCCTTGGGCTTGAGCATCTCTCTTGCATGTGTGTACACGTTGAACTTCTTTCGCGCCGTACGTAGCCGACCGTGCTAATCGGAGGTCAGAAAAATCGCAATTTGATATTTTCCCCAAATAGTTCAGCCCTATGCGAGGATGACCGGAGTTCGCGTGACGATGACCGTGTCGGAGATACCGAGTCGGAGGCCGCTGAGATCGTGGGGGGAATGCTCGGTGACTGTGTTGGGTCGGAGTGCTGAGCATGCACTGCGGACATGCTGGAGCGTCTGTGAAAAAGAGCTTTCTGGCGCATCGGATTCCTCCGTCGCGAGGAAATATTCTGATTCCGAATCCGCGTTCCAGCCACCCGCGGTTTAAAGCAACGCTCCTTCCGGATGTGACGGCGAGTTTACGGTCTCAGCCCAGCCCGCCGACAACCGCGAAGAAAAAGGCAAAGATCCCCCGTGTAGCCTTAACAGACTGTCGGGGCAAGTGCTGTTGGCGAGCAGCGCCTGTGAAGGCCCGGCACGGCCACACGATGGATGTGGGTGGCCAGCACCACGCGACCCGACCGCCTTTGTCTCCCCGGTGGCGATGCTTACGCGCCACGCACCAGGTGCTCGTTTGAGTCGACCGAGGGGAGGCCCGTGACTGTGGTTCAGATGATCGCTATCACCGGCGTTGGCCCGTGAGCGGGAATCGAGCTCGGGCGCCCGTGCGGGTTCAGCGCGTTGACCGCTGCGCCGCTACCGCCCCCCCGAACAGACCGTCGGGGGGGGGGGGGGGCTGAGCGCTGTTAGCGAGCTGCGCATATGAACAACACGCGCCCACACGCGCAACATAAACTGCCCCCACCGTATATTTAGAATCTGAGTCTCCGTCGCATTTCGCAAAAGCCGCAGCCTGTGAACGGGCGGCGGCCGCGGCATCGGTGGCGTTGACGGGAGGCGGGGGGGGGGGGGGGGGTGGGGGGGGGGGCGGCGGCGGTGACGACAACGACGAGCCGCGAGCCGCGTAATTGAAGCTCTCGCCATGTCAACACCGCCGCTAAATCAGAGTTAGGATCGAGGGCGGTGGGGGCGCTGGTATGTCGGGTGAACTCCCGGCGGTGTCAACGCTCTCTCCTCGAGTGAGCACGAACAGAGAGGGAGCCCACCCTCACCCCACCTCCTCCCTCCCCCCCCCCCCGCCCCCGCCCCCCACTGTTTCCCGCGTGTTTATCTCTGGTTGTTTATCCCTAAATATTTAACCGGGGTTAAATCACGAGTCACGAGCGAGACTCTATTAAGTCGGCGCCCTTCGGGGTGACGAGGGGGGTTGGGGGGTTGCGGGGGGGGGGGTGGGCGTTCAGCAAGAGCTGATGGTGATTCTAGAGAGGAGGCTCGCCTGCTACAACACCGGAGCCATCAGCCCCCCCCCCCAACATTCATTACGGTAACGCATCGACGCCACCGCCGCTTCCATCGCGCATTCGCCGCCCGTCGCCACCCATCGCCGCCCCACTAAACGACCATTCAGTCCGTAGGAGGCCCCTTTTCTGTTAGCCCCGGGTTGGGGGTGGGGAGGGGGGCGGGGTGGTCAAGGAGACTCCCCCGTTGAGATTCATCATCTCGCGTCCGTTCTGAATTTCGGGAGAGAATTCCACTACGTGCGTTCAGTCCTAATGCGGTCCGTGGGTCCAGTTGTTCCGAGTGGTTAATTCAGAATCGGAATGTTTATTTACCGCTGGAGGAATCCGATGAGGCACGAAGCTCTTTTGCACAGGTCTATGTACGCGTGCACGTTGAACTTCTTTCCACACCGTACGTGGCCAACCGTGCTAATCGGAGGTGCGTATGTTAAACTTTCTTTTGCACTGTACGGAGCCAACCATGCCCATCGGAGGTGCGGGCAGAAGGGCAAACTAAACACGAAAAGCAGTTCTAAAGAGAATTAGTCCACCCGTCCACGGGGAGAGAGACACGCAAACTCCAAATATACAGCCGCAGGCGTCAGGGTTGGGATCGAACCCACGACCTCCTGTATACCAGGCGAGGTAGTTAACATCTCCTAGCCACCGTGATGATGATGATGAGAGAGAGACGCGCAAACTCCAAATATACAGCAGGCGTCGTCAGGGTCGGGATCGAACCCACGACCTCCTGCATACCAGGCGAGGTAGTTAACATCTCCTAGCCACCGTGATGATGATGAGAGAGAGACACGCAAACTCCAAATACACAGCAGCAGGCGTCGTCAGGGTCGGGATCGAATCCACGACCTCCTGCATACCAGGCGAGATAGTCAACATCTCCTAGCCACCAGCGGGATGTTGTGTCGGGTGGGGGTGGGTGTACGACGCTACCTGACGCAGAAAAAAAAATATCTTGCAATTAGCACCCCGGGTTTTCGCAGCATTGCTGCTGCAAAGCTCCCGAGCGACAGCACACCACCGTGGTGCCCCTTTAATTAACAAATTAACCAAGCGCATAAGTTCCAAGTGCATCGTCGGTACCCAAGCTTCGGAAAGGGGTCGGTAAAAATAACGACAGCAAAAAAGAAACAGTCCCCAGACCACACCGAGACAACGCCGCACAGTGCCTCGATACAAATTCCACGTTAAAATCGATTCAATTGACAAATTTACATTTTGCGAATGTGGCCGTAGCCAGCGCCGATCTTCCGCTTCGCAGCCGCTTTATAACCACCCCCCACCCCCCCATCCTCTCAAAATGTTGAACAACGCGCACAGCCGAGTATCTGGTGGTGGTTATTTTGTTTCCCATAATAAGCAACAGCGGCACCAGCATCACCACCACCATCATCATTCACAAGCGGTATATATAATATTGTAACGACCTTCGCACGGAGGTCAGCGACCGGGTCAGAGGCCCCCAATTAGGGCCCGGACCCCCCCCCCCCCCCCCACCACCTCACGCCACCCCGGGCCTACATTCCGGATAACGTGGTGGGGCTGTTTTTTTTTTTTAAAGCCAGGCCACCCGTAACGGGGCGAACTGTGCATTTGCAAATTGAACTCATTGTGTGATTCGTACGTACATTGAGTAGCTCCCCTCCCCGTCCCTCTCCTCTCTCTCCCACCACCCCCCCCCCCCCCCCCCAATCGCCGCCATCGCAGTCTCAACGTTTCAGGGCAGCGGCATCTTTTTTTCCTGGGTGTTCCTTTTGTTCTTTCGCTTTTCAAAAACACCGCGCTCTCGCCAGCCGCCAGCCGCCGCTGCTGCTGTGAAACCTCTCTCGTGCAAGTGCACAACAAAAATATTGAATGCGGGAAAATGTTTTTGTTGTCGTTGAGAAACCCGGGAGTTGGTGATTGCAACAATGATGACGACAATGAGAGTGATGATGATGACGATGATGATGATGACGGTGATGATGAAGATGATGACGACGACAATGACGGTGATGATGATGACGGTGATGATGAAGGTGATGACAGTGATGACGACAATGACGGTGATGATAATGACGACAATGACGATGATGATGATGACGACGACTGTGATGATGATGTCAGTGATGATGATGATGAAGGTGATGACGGCAATGACGATATTGAGGGTGATGATGATGACAGTGATGATGATGGTGATGACGACGACAATGACGGTGATGATGATGATGCTGACGGTGATGATGAAGATGATGACGACGACAATGACGGTGATGATGATGATGACGGTGATGATGAAGGTGATGACAGTGATGACGACGACAATGACGGTGATGATGATGAAGGTGATGACGGCAATGACGATATTGAGGGTGATGATGATGACGGTGATGACGATGATGATGATGAAGGTGATGAAGGTGATGACGGCGATGATGAAGATGATGACGACGACAATGACGGTGATGATGATGACGGTGATGATGAAGGTGATGACAGTGATAACGACGACAATGACGGTGATGATGATGAAGGTGATGACGGCGATGACGATATTGAGGGTGATGATGACGGTGATGACGGCGATGACGATATTGAGGGTGACGACGATGACGACGACGACGACGACGACGACGACGATCTCGGCGATGACGATGGTGACCCCACAGGTGCACACGTGGAAGCGCTCGGACACGAGCGACGTCATGCTGGCCACGATCCGCGACCTGACGCCGCAGGTGGACTACGCGGTGCGCGTGCTGGCCTACACCTCGGTGGGCGACGGGCCGTTCTCGCCCGAGCTGCGCATACGCACGCAGGAGGGAGGTGAGGCAGCCTGCACGCAGTCGCCCGTCATCCGGTGTAAAACGACGCCAACGCGACCGTGCCAACGCGACCGTGCCAACGCGCACGTGCGAGGCTCACGCGCGGTGCGCGTTGGCGCGGAGTGGCGTTGGGCGACCCTTGTCTCTCTGCGCGCGTCAGTGCCCAACCAGCCCATCAACCTGAAGGCGGAGGCCGAGTCGGCGAGCAGCGTGCTGCTCGCGTGGACCCCACCGCGGCAGGAGGGCATCCTCAAGTACGAGCTCGCCTACCGGCCCGGCGACGGCACCGCGACGACCGCGACCGCCAGCGAGGTGCCCGCCGCCGCCGCCCACCGCCGCCGCCGCCCGCCGCCGCCCGTCTTTAGCGCGCGCGTGCCAGCCCGACGTTCCGGTCAGGGCCCTGCCGCGACATTTGCGCCTTCGCCGGCGATTCACGACAGCCGGCATGGTCGGGCGGCTTGCCAGAAGGTGCCGCTTCCGGCTAAAGACGCCCGACGGTTGCTGGTTAACGTCGGTCGCGCAAGCCTGCGCGGTGAATGCGTCAATTTCGAGATTCGAGCCTCTCTTCTACCGGAGGGAGGTCTCAAGACACCGGCCAGTACGGCGAGCCTCTCGTTCGCAAAAACGAGGGCGGGCCCGGCTTCGTCGTCGAGACGCCCGTTGAGATCCACGGCTTTTCTGAGCTCGCGCCGATTGGTCACGTGGGTTTGCTCGTTTCCCCCCCCACCCCCCCCCCCCCCCCCCGCCCCCCCACCGCGTTGGCGTTTGCCGGCCCCGGCGATTTCACGCGGCGGTATTCGTGGTGCGAGCGTGAGCACACAGGCGCAACAATGAGACGGAAACGACAGAGCACACTGCAGCGAACGAGTGCGTGCACAATATACGGGGTTTTTTTTTTTTGTTCGGGTTAGATCGCGTAAATATAAAACCGTGTCGTTAAACCCGCCACCATGCGCCTGATGAAGCTGGTCGTAATTTTATGGCGAAACGTCGTGCTCGGATCGTAAGCGTTGTGGCTTTGCTCTCCAGCACAGCGGTGTGCTACTGCTGTGCTGGTAACGAATTGGTCACGTTCTGTTTACGTGACAAACCCTACTAATTGGCCGTGTCGGGTTCTGGCGGGTTTACCGACACATTTATTACATTTACGTGATCTAACCCAACAAACAAACAAAAACCTCCTCAATGGATGATATCGGTCCCGAAAGGCTCCTTCGTGTTAGACGGAGTGCGTGCAGCGGGCTCCTTAAGGGATATCACGGGACTAACGAACGAGGTGTTCTTTTTTTTGTTGTTTTTGTTTAACCCGTCGTAATCGAAAAGCACGCAAAATCTTCTTCTTCTAACCGCTCGTGACAAAAGCCCAATTGGAACATAACTCAGGAGAGGACGCAAATTAAGTAAAAGTTTCGCCGCTAAAGACGCTGTGACAACAATGAATCTCTCCCCCCCCCCCACCCCCCCCAGAGACCCCCGCAATCTTCTGCTCCTTCGTCGGCTTTGATTGTACGACCGATTGGAAGATGGCCCATGACGTAAATAATTATTCACGCCGCTCTTAAACTCTTTTGTTGTTTGTACTTACCACCAGGGTAAAGGCCCCAGCGAGCTTACGCAGCGCTTTTTCCGAAGCGACCTGGCCGCAAGTGATAACCTCGACGAAGTGGCTCATCATCTTCTTAGTTTTTTCGGTAAAGTCACGTTGAAGAGAAACAACAAAATAATAAAATATATATATAAAACAATAAAAAAAATTCTCACGACGTTTCGACCATAACTCAAACGGTCATCTTCAGGTGTGTTGGTTTGCATAAATTTATTTTTAAACGGCGCATTTATTTATTTATATAAAAAACGTTAGCGCCACGCGCAGCGATTTGGCAGTTTACCCAGGACTAGTCCATCTATATTCTGAAAAGAGGAGGGGGGAGACGAAATTTTTTATAATGTATGCTGTCTGAAAGCCACTGTAAGCGTGAACAATAAATTAAGAACTGAAATGGTTTTTTTTTATAAATAAATAAATGCGCCGTTTAAAAATACATTTATGCAAACCAACACACCTGAAGATGACCGTTAGAGTTATGGTCGAAACGTCGTGAGAATTTTTTATTGTTTTATATATATTTTATTATTTTGTTGTTTCTCTTCAACGTGACTTTACCGAAAAAACTAAGAATATGAATTACTGCAGTCACGAAAGCTTTAAATCAAAATTTGGCTCATCATCGTCAGCACGTGGAAATTCACGGCACCCAAATAACTCTTAAAAACGCGCAACGTCGATTCTAAAAACGTGGAGGGGAAACAAACGGAGGAGCCCCGAGAAAAATCCACGCGACCACGGGGAGAGAGGGACAGAGACACAAACTCCAAACGTACAGCAGGCGTCCTCAGGGTCGGGATCGAACCCACGACCTCCTGTATACCGGGCGAGGTAGTTAACATCTCCTAGCCACCGTGGTGATGATGATGATGAGAGAGACTCGCAAACTCCAAACATACAGCAGGAGTCGTCAGGGCCAGGATCGACCCCACGACCTCCTGAATACCAGGCGAGGTGGTTAACATCTACTAGCCACCGTGGCGAGATGTTAACTGCCTGTCATCCCTTCCCGCTCCCCCACCCTGTTAGTTGAAAGTCCATCCTTCCGGTGACGATAACGGCCCCCCCATCATCCTTGAAGCGGCTCCTTTGTCGACGACACGGACAGGATTTGATGATGACAGAGGGGAGGGCGCTAAGTTTAGCGTGGTGGGGGGGGGGGGGGTGATAATCACGGGGGGGGTGAGCGCTGGGGGGGGGAGCGAGGAATAGAGGTGACGGAAAATCATCGCAGAAACGCCCGCACGCGCGAATTAAACGATCGATCTTTTTTCAACAAAAAGAAAACCTCAATAACGCTTACGGATGATGTTAAATCATGCCGCCCGCCCGCCCGCCCGCCCGGCGAGCCGGCCGATGGCCCCGGCTATCTGTAACGAGAGAGACGAGGTAATGCAATGTCTGTGGCCGCGGAAAGTGACAATGCTCCTGACTCTCATCCAATACTCGAAAACAAATGTGGTTCCGGGGGAGAGCCACCACCACCACCACCATGTCAGGCTCAAGCTTGCCGTGAACAAATCATGTGAGAGCAGCTAGGGGCAGTTGGTTCGGCTGGCCAGGGGGCTCCCTGAGACGCCACCGGCACAGTAGCCACAGCCATGGCAAGAGATACTCCTGGGGAATGTTGGTGTACCGGGTTTAAACATCTTTCTTTTTCTCCGGCTCTCCACCGCTTTCCACTCTCCGCTGCTCTCCGCTGCTCTCCGCCGCTCTCCGCCGCTCTCCGCCGCTCTCGACTCTCCGCTCTTTGCCGCCGCCTCTGATTGGTGCAACCGCACCGGCAACCGACTTTGAAGAGCGCCCGCTGGGGAGAGAGAGAGGGACACGGAGAGACACGTGGGGAGAGACACACAATAGCCTAGCACTGAGACCCATGGACTCAACAGAGACGCACAGAATAACAGAGGCTCATAGACTTAGATAGAGACCCATAGACTAGCACAGAGACCCACAAACCTACATAGACTCGCACGGCTAAAAGAGCAGCAGATCCTGGGAGCAAGATGGAGGGAGCCAGAGTCCGTAGAGTGGAGGGAGGCGAGTGGGGGTGGAGAAGGCTGCGGAGGCAGGGAGGAGGAGTAGGTGGAAGGGGGATGAGTCGGTGAAGGGGATGAGGAGGTGGAGGCAGAGGAGGTGAGGGAGGTGCAGGCAGGGAGGAGGAGGAGGAGGTGGAGGAATATTAAACTAAAAGTATTGAACAATTTTTTTATGTTACCAGTTAGGGCCCACTTAGCTATAAAGCTTTTTTTCAGAAGCCGCCTGGCTGCCACACATGATAATAGCTCAACGAAGTGGCTCATCACGTGGACATTTATAGCAGCAGCCAAATGCTCTAAACACCGTGACGTCGACTCTAAATGTGGAGGGAAAAAACCGGAGGACCCGGACAAAAAATCCACGCGACCACGGGGAGAGAGACGCCGCAAACTCCAAATATACAGCAGCAGCAGCAGGCATCGGCAGGGTCGGAAACGAACCCACGACCTCCTGTACACCAGGCGAGGTAGTTAACATCTCACCAGTGAGGAGGAGTGAGGCCAGGCTGACAGATCACCCAGGTGCTGTCTAGATCCATGTTCCTATCACCAACCCTCCGTGCCCCGGGGTGGGTGGGGGGGGGGGTTGATAAATTGAGTACAACTTTGCGAAAAAGTCAACAGTGGCTTGAGGCCCCTCCGCGAACGACTCGTTGATGAGATTCTATTTTTACGCTCGGCTGCTTGGAATTAGTTGCTCGTGCAAATCGCATGCAAATGTTACCTCGAGGCGAGCGCGCGTGGTTTACTCCCAAGACGGAGCGCGGCGCGGCACAGGAGAGGCACGGAGTGTGACGGTGCCAGGGAGAGATGAGTAGCGGCGATCTGTCCTCGAGTCAATAATCTTCTGGTTGTCCTTACCCCCGCCCCGCCCCGCCCCGCTCCTTGACGAGATCAGCAGCGACGTATTTCGGGTTAATTTGTGGCGTGCGTGCGTGCGTGCGTGCGTGCCGAGTGCAACACCTTGTGCTGGAAAATCCTGTGAAAAAGATCTTCAGAGCTCATCGGATTTCCTCCTCCAGCCTTTAAATCGAGATTCCAATTCACTAGCAGCCGACGGGCGAATGAAGCCGCGTGCGTGTCTGTGTTGCGTGTCTGTGTTGCGTGTGTGCGTGCGTGCGTCGGGCTGGCTGGCCGGCCGCCACCAGCAGCAGGTGGTGACGTTCGACCCAACGATGACGTACCTCCTGGAGGGCCTCAAGCCCAACACGCTCTACAGCTTCCGTCTGGCGGCGCGCTCCGGCCACGGCCTGGGACCCGCCACGCTGGCCGTCACAGCCCGCACCATGCCCTCCAGTACGCGCGCACGCACACACGCACACACGCACACACGCACACACGCACGCGCGTACGCACGTGGCAGGTGGGACGGGGGTAGTAAACGCGCGCAGGGAGAATGCTAACACGCCACACGCACACACGAGGGTACAAAGACAGAGCTTTGGGGCAAGCGCTGTTAGCGAGCACCTACGGAGGCCGGCACGGCACACGAGATGGTGGGTGGTTGGGTGGGTGGGTGGGTGGCCGGCACCACGCCCCGACCACCTTTGCTTGGGTTTGTAGCGCGGTGCGCGAAGCATGTGGCCTGTGATCCGCACCGCACTCGGCTCTGTAGCGTGCTCATTTTAGGCGGAGGCCCTGGGACCGGTTCAGACAATCGCCACCGGTGGTAGCGAGCCATGGCCGGGAATTGGATCTGGGTTGGGTCGCCGGGTTCGTAGCGCGGCCGTGCCACCACCACCACCACCACCGCCGACCACCTCCTCCTTCCTGCGCGGGTGGCTGGCCCTCAATAGATGCTCATTAACCACCAGTCCGTTGAAGGACGGGGGGGGGGGGGCCAGGGAGCTGTACATAATGCTCCCCCTCCCTCCTCCCCGGTACATCGCGAGCGGAATGCACAGTCCCGCGCGTGTGTGCAGATCACAAGCGCACGGACACACACACACAGAGAGAGAGACACGCACGCACGCACGTCCGAGCGGTCGCTGCGTTCCCACTCTAGATGAAAGCCTGCGGAGCCGAGCGCCATGTTTTATGTTTTTCCCCCTTCCCCCTGGCGACCGAGCTCCCAGATTCGGCTCTTTTCTAGAAATCGGCTTTGCCCCCGATCGCAATTTGTGGGTCTCCTGTATGCCGCGCCGCCTCGGTGCACACACGGAGGGGGCTTTGAAAGCTGCCATCAAGGCGCGTGACACCCCACCCCCCTCGCCCCCCCCACCCCCGTCTCCCCCCACGCCCCCCCCACCCCCCTCGCCCCCCACGCCCCAGACCACCCGGTCACCCCCCCCCACCTCCCCCCCCCCGGACCACAACACAGTATTCCCTCGGTTAACGTCGTTTTTCGAATCCGTTCCGCGGAAAACTACTTTCAACTGAACGTAATTGTTAATGGAATATAGGCATTACGTGCTATGAGTACAACAACAAACAAACAAACAAAAATCACTTGAGCCTGCACTGGAGAAGCTGTTTCCAGTGCCCAAAAGCGGAAAGCGCGGTGCGAACAAAGCCGGTCGAGGATCTGAATAGGATGACGAATAGAGCGCCCGGTGGGTGGGTGGGTGGGAAGAGGAAGCCAGAGAACAAGCGCCCATGGGTGTCTCTGGGGCGAGCGGCGACGACGCGGTCAGGCCAAGTCGCCTACGGCGGCGACCTCCTCAGGGGCAAGCGTTCAAGCGACCAGCGACTTTTAAATTTCGATTTGAAGCTTTCGTGACTGCGAGGATTCATCTTCTTTGGCTCTTTCGGTAAGGTCACGTGGAATGGAGAATAAAAGAATAAAATAACACGATAAAATTCTCGCGACGTTTCGGCCACAGTGCAAGCGGCCGTCTTCGGGTGAAAGGTACAGACCTGTTTTATTGTTTTATTCCCATTCTACGCGACCTTACCGAAAGAAGACGACTGGTGACCGCTTTTGCTTCGAAGGAGACTGGTGGCTGTGTTTTGACACTGCGTGCCTACGTACGGTTGAACTTCTTTCGCACCGTACGTAGCCAGCCGCACTCATCGGAGGTGCGGGGATTGGGTGGGGGCGAGGCTGGGCGGGGAAGGACAACAAACGTGACACCAGATATAATTTCTAAAGAAGTGAGCTTTCAATCTAGACGATGATTTAATAGTGAACAGATCCCAGTGGCTTCCTTAATGCCGGCAGGAAGAGCGTTCCAGACGGCCACGGAGGACGCATCTGAAAGCGCCGCGGAATGCCTGCGATCGCCTTTGTTCGATGGCCAGCCAAAACCCCGCCGCTGCGAGGATGAACAGAGTTGTTGACATGACGATGCTTTGCACTCCTTGACGAGATCAGCAAAGGTATCAGCAGCAGCAGCAGCAGCGAGGTTTACTGGCGAGGTTCATTCGTGGCGAGCACTTTGTGTGCGCAATGAGAGCAATGGCGGAGCCAGGATTTTCAGGTAGGGGGCGGGGGGGGGGCAACTCCTCCAGCAATGAAAAATGATAGAGGAGTTGTTAGTGAGTAAGGAGTTGTTAGTAAGGAGTTGTTAGTAAGTAAGGAGTTGTAAGTAAGGAGTTGTTAGTGAGTAAGGAGTTGTTAGTAAGGCGTTGTTAGTGAGTAAGGAGTTGTTAGTGAGTAAGGAGTTGTTAGTAGGTAAGGAGTTGTTAGTAAGTAAGGAGTTGTTAGTAAGCAAGGAGTTGTTCGTAAGTAAGGGCTTGTTAGTATGTAAGGAGTTGTTAGTAAGTAAGGAATTGTTAGTAAGTAAGGACTTGTTAGTGAATAAGGAGTTGTTAGTGAGTAAGGAGTTGTTAGGAAGGAGTTGTTAGTAAGGAGTTGTTAGTAGGTAAGGAGTTGTTAGTAAGTAAGTTGTTAGTAAGCAAGGAGTTGTTAGTAAGTAAGGACTTGTTAGTACGTAAGGAGTTAGCAAGTAAGGAATTGCTAGTAAGTAAGGAGTTGTTAGTAAGTAAGGAGTTGTTAGTAAGCAAGGAGTTGTTAGTAAGTAAGGACTTGTTAGTATGTAAGGAGTTGTTAGTAAGTAAGGAATTGCTAGTAAGTAAGGAGTTGTTATTAAGTAAGGAGTTGTTAGTAAGGAGTTGTTAGTAAGTAAGGAGTTGTAAGTAAGGAGTTGTTAGTGAGTAAGGAGTTGTAAGTAAGGAGTTGTTAGTGAGTAAGGAGTTGTAAGTAAGGAGTTGTTAGTGAGTAAGGAGTTGTTAGTAAGTAAGGAATTGCTAGTAAGTAAGGAGTTGTTATTAAGTAAGGAGTTGTTAGTAAGGAGTTGTTAGTAAGTAAGGAGTTGTTAGTAAGGAGTTGTTAGTAAGTAAGGAGTTGTAAGTAAGGAGTTGTCCCTTGATTTCTATTCGACGCGTGTGCGGCGTTGGCGCAGCCATCGAACGAGGGTCAAATTCGAACCGCGTTGTGTGATCGGCATCGCGATCGCTGAAGGTGTCGATGCCTTTAGGGAAGTCGTGGACTCTGTATACGCAACTGCGCGCATTTCTGTGAGTCACTTATAACCGCTTTGCCGTTACTTATTGCCAATTATGGACGCAGACTATTGTCCTATCATCTCATACAGTCCCTGGCACGTAATAATATGCTACACAGTGGCAGTGGGGGTCGCAAAATGCCGATTACTAATAAACCCCAATAATCCGATCGAAATTAGGGATTTCGATCGGATCATTGGGGGGCACGTGCCACCCCCCGCCTCCCCCACCTTATACTGGACATCTTTTAGAGCTTCATAGCTCATCGGATTCCTCCTCCAGTCTAAATCAAGATTCTGATTTAACGAGCCAGGACCGACCGAATTTCAAACACTGGGCCTGGCTGTCTCTCGGAGTACTTGGTTGCTGTGTTGTGCTATCGAGCTAGGTTCAACCCCTGGACCTGTTAGTCTATCAGAGGATGTGTTAAAAGGCACAAACTAGGACCTCTTCAGAACCAGGCTTCAGTTTTCTGAAGGTGGCACCTCTCTCTCAGGAGGCTCATGTTGAGCTGCATTGATGCAACGATACTTCTCAGTTCAAGCCCCAGACCTGGTTAGCTGTCAGAGTACTGGCCGCAGTGTTAAGACACTGAGTGATAATCTCTGAAGACTAAGCTTCAAGCTCCTGGGCCTAGTTATATCTCAAGAGTGCTGGCTGCAGTGTTAAGACACTGAGTGATAATCTCTGAAGACTAAGCTTGAAGCTCCTGGGCCTAGTGATATCTCAAGAGTGCTGGCTGCAGTGTTAAGACACTAAGTGATAATCTCTGAAGACTAAGCTTCAAGCTCCTGGGCCTAGTTATCTCTCAAGGGTACTGGCTGCAGTGTTAAGACATTGAGTGATAATCTCTGAAGACTAAACTTTAATCCCTGGGCCTAGTTATCTCTCAAGGGTACTGACTGCAGTGTTCAGACACTGAGTGATAATCTCTGAAGACTAAACTTTAAACCCTAGGCCTAGTTATCTCTCAAGGGTACTGGCTGCAGTGTTAAGAGACTGAGTGATAATCTCTGAAGACTAAACTTTAATCCCTGGGCCTAGTTATCTCTCAAGGGTACTGACTGCAGTGTTAAGACACTGAGTGATAATCTCTGAAGACTAAACTTTAATCCCTGGGCCTAGTTATCTCTCAAGGGTACTGGCTGCAGTGTTCAGACACTGAGTGATAATCTCTGAAGACTAAACTTTAAACCCTGGGCCTAGTTATCTCTCAAGGGTACTGGCTGCAGTGTTCAGACACTGAGTAATAATCTCTGACACTGAACCTCCGCGGAAGGGAGGGAGGGAGGGAGGAGGGGGCACGGGCGATGTCTCACAGATCCGGCCTCATTCGTCTTGGAAAAACAACAACCGTCGAGTAGCCGTGCACAACGCCCCGGGGTTTTAGGAGCGCTGCCACAGGCAAAAAAGGGGGGCGAACTCTCCTCTACTTACGAACATTCGACTTGCGAACTTTCAGAGATACGAACAACCCTGGTCCGTACATCCAGTTGCCTGTTCGGACCGAAAGTCGTAAGTTCAACCGCCGCCACGCAATAGATGGCGGTGGTGAAGAACCAGTGGCATCTACATCTACAGAACATGAAGAACCAGTGGTATCTACATCTACAGAACATGAAGAACCAGTGGCATGTACATCTGTAAAACGTGAAGAACCAGTGGTATCTACATCTACAGAACGTGAAGAACCAGTGGCATCTACAGCTGCAGAACGTGAAGAACCAGTGGCATCTACATCTGCAGAACGTGAAGAACCAGTGGCATCCACAATCTGTGGAACGTGAAGAACCAGTGGTATCTACATCTGCAGAACGTGAAGAACCAGTGGCATCTACATCTACAGAACG